GGGGGGGGGGGGGGGGGGGGGGGGGGGTGGTCTCCTTACTCGAACCGAATACTAGGGAAAGGGTAATATAGGGGCTAGGGGCCTCAAGAACTACCTATAATTTGAGGGTTCTTTATTGTAGCTATACCAAAAAAGGACCCCAGAACTCGCTTCTAATTATTAAGGCCCCTATANNAGAACCCTTATAGCCCTCATGGTATCCTTTTTTATTGGAGCCCTTTAAAGGAACCCTATTCTAATTGTGAAGGCCCCCACATTCCCGAAACCCTAAACCCTAAACCCTAAATCCCCAAACCCTAAATCCCTCATTAAAGTGCGGGAACCTAGGCCTACTTAGCACAGCAACGCCTCGCCAAGCAGAAAGTCGAGGCCTGGCTTCCCCTGGCCTTGGACTTACGGTTTAGGGTTTAGGGTTTCGGTTAAGGCTCGTGGATCATTCTTCGTCGTCTTACTGTTATTACGATTGTCATGAGTCATGTGTATTGTTATTGTTGTTTTCTGTAATATGCTTCTTCTTTTTATCATCATCATCATCATCATCATCTTTATTCGTAGTAGTATTGTTATATTTACTTTTTCTGCCTATGTATTGGCTTTGTTAGCCCAGGCTTTGGGCTTAATACGCAAGAGCGTGAGGGAACGCCACCGGAATCCCGCAATAAGGATAGCTGTAGCAAGTCTGTTAGATCTCAGAACCTGCGCCTGGGAGGGTCTGAGAAGAAATTCGAACATGGGGGGTTTGGTAATTTAGGGCTTATAGGGCTTAGGGAAATTTCAGCATGTGCAGACTTGACATGGTTTTGGGTTTCAGGCGGAGTAACGTCTTCCAGTATTCGTGGTTTAGGAAAGAGGGTTCTATTCGATATGGTTTTTTCTGGAACACCAGCTTCAAACGGTACCCATATCCTCAAATATCCACTAGTCAAGAAGTATTCCTTAACTCATAGTAGGGATCCTGCCATAATTTACAGTACATGTCTCAATTAACGGATGCCGAAAGATCTGGAGAATTGAGGGCCCGGAGATTGCAACGAGGCTGCAAGACCCGAGCAAAAAAACAACAGGGGTTTGGAGGTTCACGGATTGAGGTTTATGGTGTAGGGGTTTAGGATCTGAGGTTTAGGTTTTAGCGGCTTAGGGTTTTGAGGCCTAGATCTTGGAGGCGGTTTAAGGTTTAGAGTTTAGGGTTTAGGGTCAAACTTTGGTCTCTTTTGAACTCCGCCTCATTTGGTCACCCGCTCCTGTAAGCAAGCCTGCAAGAAGCCATGACTTTGTGTAGGGTTTTAGGTTTAGGGTTTATGAACTCATGTGTAGGGTTTAGGGTTTCGGGTTTAGGCTTTATGGGGGCTGGGGTTTAGGCTTTAAAGAACCCGGCCCCAAGCGCAACGGGCTCTTCTAACACAGGGGCCTAAACCATTACCAATACTATTTTGGAGGTTCCTTATTATGCGAGTATCATGGGCACCAAAGCCTTATTCAATCATTAAGGCCCACACCCTAAAAAAGAACCCTTATAGCCCTTATGGTATCCCTTGAAAGCAGCCCTCAAGGCCCCTGTATTGACTCAGGTCCCTGAAGCTCCAAAGCATGGATTCTCCAGGCACTGGCCATTGGCTGGTCTGCCTCCACCATCCAGGCCTGCCTGAAGACCAGGCGCACTTTCGGGTTACTTGGAGGTTCATGGGTAGTTGTAAGTGGGGTTATAACTAGGGTAACTATAGTTATAACCAATATTCGGGGAATATAACCCTACTTATAACTCCCCATGAACCTTCAAGTAGGGTTTGGGGTGTGGTTGGGGTTGTAGGTTTTGTGTCAGTTTCACTTGGGGTTGGGGGGCGTAGCATCTTTCGAATAAGCAGTGTGGGGTTTGAATTTAAACCTAGACCCTAAGACCTCGACCTAAACCGCCTAAACCCTAAACCCCTGAACCCCCGAACCCCTAAACCCCGAAACCCTACAAAAAACACCGAAACCTGCAAACATCGTTCAACAACGCTGTTTTCCGATATGCCGTACAAGAACCGCCAGAGCCCGAAGAACAAAGCAACAGAAACACAGGATCACTCCGGGCGCACTTCCAAGAAGATCAGAAGCGGTCACTGCTTGAGTCCAGCCACATTAGGGTTTTGGGGGTTTAGGGCTTAGGGTGTTGAGAGCTTCGTACATATCCCGCAGGAACAGTCGTTCCTTTGTCGGGGCGTCTTGGGTATATCCGGGTCCACGCTAATACATATATGCCGGCCCTTGTGCCACTCTGCTTAAGCAGCAAGGTAGCACTCTCCCCGGCAATCGCCATGTCGATAACTCTGAGTGTGAGCTTGCTAAGTGGCAGAAGTGTCTCCGTGGAAGCGGAGCCGGAGGATGCCATTCTGTTGCTAAGACAACGCGCTCAGAGCGTGCTAGGGGTGGCTCAGTTCCACAATACCCAACCTCTAAGTTTTTTGGATTCTTATAGTATTTAGTATCAACTTAATAATCTGAAAGTTTCGCCTTATTTTCCCTGGCTTACTGGGGAAGCAAGGTGGGTGCGGGCGTCCTGTTGCATTCGACTGGAAGCTTGGACGAAGCAGCAACAGTCCAGGAGGCAGGGCTGAAGAATGGGGATGAGCTGACATACCAGGTACGGAGAGTGTCGTTATGTGACAACCCTGGTGCATTTGCTGCCATCCTCAGCGACGGCTCCGTCGTCACTTGGGGTCATGCTGACTTTGGTGGTGAAAGTTCATCTGTTCAGCCCAAGCTGAACTGCGTGCGACAAATCCAAAGCTGTTTCAGCGCTTTTGCTGCGATCCTGGGAGATGGCTCGGTCGTGCCCCTAGGCCCTAGGCTTGGAGTAATGTATATACTTCTTCACACTGTTGCGGGATTACAGGTATCTGAAGTTTCTCACAAGAGCTGCACTTTGAGCTCATAGTCTACAGGTGTATCCAGGCTTTTGACCCTAACCATGCACATTAGACCCAATCATGCATTTCACAGCTAAGGACTTGGGGTCATGTTCAGTATGGAGGTGACAGCAGCTCCGTACAAAGCCAGCTGAAGAATGTGCAGCACATCGCTGCAACTGATAGGGCCTTTGCCGCCATCCTCCTAGATGCTTCGGTGGTTACATGGGGTGATGCTAGTTCAGGAGGGGATAACAGTGCCGTGCAACATCAACTGAAAGCGGTGCAGAAGATCCATGCCTCAAAGAATGCTTTTGCCGCAATTCTCAGCGACGGTTCCGTGGTGACGTGGGGACATGTTTTCCGCGGTGGCGACAGTAGTTCCTGGATTGTTGAGAAAGAGTTTTATTCGCTTGCCATGTATAGCATAAATCAAGCGACTACCCATAGTCCCCATAGTAGTTCCTTTTTGGGATTACCTAATAGGATCCTAAATATAAGCCACAACAAGGAACTTCTAAGGGGCCTATGGGTACTTACTTCAGGTAGCTGGAACTAAGCCCCTCAGCAAAAACACCTAAGACCACTTCTTAAAGCCACTATACATATAACTTGCATGCAAAGCCAGTGAACCTTTGCCCGACTTGGTGTGAGCATTCTAGGACCCGACATAAAACAAAGCAAAACACAGACACTTCCTACAAACCCTTTATACAACTTTACGAAAGCTCTACGAAACCCAATGCAACCTCTAGGCCCTGTTCAAGACCGGCTGAAGAACGTCCAGCAGATCCAATCCTCGCACCGAGCTTTTGCCGCCATCCTCGCGAATGGCTCGGTGGTGACCTGGGGCGATGTTATGCACGGTGGCGACAGCAGTGACTCTGTTCAGTTCAGTCTCCGTGCTCTGTTCTTTAACAAGGCAAACCATGGTCTTATGCGGTTACAAGTGGTTCGCGTTACGATACAGGATACCATAATAGGATATTATAGCAACGGCGATGGCCTGCCCCAGTATTGCAACTTAGACTGGGTTCCTTATCGAGAACTGAGGTCTTGTGCATGATCGACTCAGGCATGTACAACAGATCCAGGCTTCAATGAACGGCTTTGCAGCCATTTGTGCAGATGGCTCTGTTGTGACCTGGGGCGCCTCAGACAGCAAGTCTGTGCAAGAGCGGCTGAAGAATGTATATCAAATTCAAGCGAACTTGCACTCTTTTGCTGCCATCTTGGAGGACGGATCCGTCGTGTGTTGGGGTATGGTCGCCGGAGGTGACAGCAGCGCCGTGCAACATCAACTCACGAATGTGCGCGAGATTCAGGCTTCGAGCCGTGCCTTTGCCGCTATTTGCGGCGATGGTTCTGTGGTCACATGGGGAGATGCCGGCTACGGTGGCGACAGCCACGATGTGCAGGATCAGTTGCGACATGTACATCACATCAAAGCTGCTGAGAGGGCCTTCGCAGCGATCCTGGCCGACGGCTCTGTTGTGACTTGGGGACATGCTCCATCTGGTGCAGACAGCAGTTCGGTACAGGAGCGGCTGAAGAATGTGGAGCGGATCTCCGGTTGCTACAATGCTTTTGCTGCGATCCTTGGCGATGGATCCGTTGTTACCTGGGGGGATCCTATCCACGGTGGTCTCGAAAGTATTCTCCAACTAAAGAGCGAGCTGCGGTCTATGCGGTTCGCCCATGCAGTACCCTGAACTCTCGACTGCAACCGTTGCAGAAAGGAGCGAACATGCAGAGGATGTGATGGTGTGTTTACCCTAAATAAACCCCAGCCTGAATCGCTTCTGCATCAGTGCGCACCCGGTGTGCAGAGACGTCAATTCGTCTTCGTCCCCTATCGGGTTTAGGGTTCATGGTTGCTGCACACAGAGATGGCTGCACAAATATGTATGTATATGTATAGAATGTATACGTATACGTATGTAAATGTTTGTGTGCATGTGTACGTGTACGTGTGTATGTGTATGTATGTGTGCAGGTGTGTGTGTGTGTGTGTGTGTACGTGTGTATGTGTATGCATGTGTGCATGTGTATGTGTATGTATACGTGTACGTGTCTGTATCTGTGTCTCTGTCCGTGTCTCTGTATGTGCGTATGTGGATGTGTGTGCGTGTGCATGCCCATGTGTGAGCAAATGTATACGCATGCACGCATACATGCATGCACACACGCACGCACGCACACACGCAGGCATGCATGCATGCATTTATGCAGGATGTATGTATGTATGTATGTATGTATGTATGTCTGTATGTATGTTTGTTTGTTTGGTTGTTTGTATGTTTGTTTTTTCTGTATAAGTATATGTATGTGTGTGTATGTTCATATATACAGGTTTTTTTCATTTAGAACATTTCGCATGTACTGTACATAGATAGGTAGAGGCTGAGGTTATGGGGATTGTAGGCTAAGCGACATGTAATTCACGCAGTTTACAGTAGTATAGTTATCCAGTTATTCCCCGAAATCCGTGCCTACTGACTGAACCCTAAACCCTAAACCCTGCAAACCCTAAACCCTAAACCCTAAACATTAAACCCTGCAGGTACTTACTTGGTACTGGCATCCCGCAGTGTGAGACCTTCTTTGAAGGCGCCCCCAAACCTTACACTCGAAACCCTGCGCAGTCGTCCTGGCGTGCTCCAGTCATAGGCCCCGTAGTAGTTCCTTCTTGTGGCTTATATGTAGGGTCCTATTTGGTAATCCCGAAGAGGAACTACTATGGGGCCTATGGGTAGGCCCTAAACTCTAAACTCTAAGCCAAGGGGTTTGGGGATCTAAACCCCGAGCCCTAAACCCTAAACCCTAAATCCGTCCTGGCCTGCTCCAGGCTCTGCCAGCAGTACATGCGCAACCTCGCAAAGGACGCGTGGCTGCGCGAAACGGCCGCCGTGAAGATCCAGGCCTCTCCCTCAGGGTCCAAAGGACCCAATAATAATAATACTAATAATAATAACAAAAAAGATAGTAATAACAATAATAATAATGATAATAAAGATAATAATGATAATCATGATGATAACGATAATATTGATAATGTATAAGGTACTTTGGTTGCGGATAGAAGTTATCTAGGTTAAATGTTTTGCCGGAGTATATGATTATTAGGTACTTGGACCCCTAGAGTCTGAAGTACAGAGATCGGGCCAACTAGCACCGCCGTTTTGTTGCATGGTAAAGTTCCGATAGAACTCTCTGTTTAGGGTTTGGGGTTTAGGGTTTCATGGGCGATACACCCCGACCCACTGTTCTAATCAGGGAAGTGTTGGGGCGGGATTTGGCTGTGCTACAGGGCTGGTATCTATTTCGAGGTTCCGGCACTTCGCGGTTTGTGACAGGACGAGGACTCACTAAGACGAGACGGGACTAAGCTCGAACTCGAACTGTCAGCCGGTTTAAGAGGCCTGGGTTTGGGGTGTCGGCTGTACGGCCTTCAGTGTTGGAGGCGTTTTCAGAAGCACGGGCGTCTTGGAAGCGCTTATGTACGTATCTGAGGTTTCTTGCATCAGATTCATCAGTGCACTGCGACAGTGGCAAACCTCAAAACAGTGCCTCCGACCATATTCATTCAGTTTACTGAGGTGACACAGTCACAGCTCAGCTGGTGGCTGCTAAGATTTCCGTGACAAGTCTCACTCAACTGTGAACGTGAAGCCCAAAACCTAAGCCCTATAAACTCTAAATCCCCAAACCCCGAACCCGAAAGACACACCCAAACCCTAAACCCTAAATCCCCAAACCCGAAAGACACACCCAAACCCTAAACTAAATCCCCAAACCCGAAAGACACACCCTCAACTCTCAACCCTAAGCATGAAAAGTAAGCTCTGCCCATAGGCCCCATAGTAGTTCCTTTTTGGGGACTACCTAATAGGATCCTAAATATAAGCCGCAAATAGGAACCACTATGTGGCCTATGGGTAAACCCTCAGCCCTCAAGTTTATCTCTGAGATCCTGCTGCTCTTCAGCTCTTTTAACGAATGCTTATAGTAGAAGCCAGAAAGTTGGAACATAATTACTCTCATGCCCGCAAGGTAAAGCAAAAGGGATTCTAGCACCAATCCTCCTAAACCCATTTTCCAACTGTCTGGGATTTGCTCTAGTTACGGTTTAGGGTTCAGGGTTTAGGGTTTCATATTTTATATGAAACCCTTCATAGAACCCATAAAGGAACGCTAGAAGGAAGCCGCCAGTCCCTGTCAATCTCTCTAAGGGTAATTCTCTTAAGGTCCCTCTTGACGTCCCCAAAAAAGTAGGGGACCCGAATAAAAGAGCCCTAACAGGGGACCCGAGTTTAGAGTTTAGAGAACTACCCATAAAGCCACAAATCTTCCACGATCGTTGAATTTAGGACAAGAGTTTAGGGTTTAGGGAAGAATACAACCTCAAACATCCTTAAACTAAAGTTTAGGGCTTAGGGTTGAGGGAGGAATCTGCGGTAAATTATGGTAAAGACCGATTATGATGGAGTCTTCCTGAAGTAACGGAATATTAAGAAAATCGGGCCCAAAACTAGACCCCTAATGTTGGAGTCCCTTTAATAAAATGGGTGACAATAAAAATACCTACCGGGGGCATAGAGTCTGGGCGGAAGAC